TCCCTGTTGTCCTCCTTCTTCTTCTGTTTCTACAAGCACTTTTTACTGTTATCTGCTTTGATTTATTCTGTCACCCTCATTTTATGAAGCCTCTGTCCTCTCACTGACACACATGGTCCAACTTTGCAGAAAGATTTTGGATAATGTTTGAACATTGGGGAAACAGTGTCATTATTAGTCAGTGTGACACACTTGTGTTGTTGCCCCACGACACGTTCCAGCACCTTTGCATTTAAAAAAAAAAAAAAAAAAGAATTTCCTGGCCAGTTATTACTGAGCGCAGAAACTAAAAACCTGAGATGTAGGAAATCCTAAACTTGTATTTTTAATTTATACTATTTATGTGTTTGCACAGTTAAAATCTATATCTAAGTAAAATATTCAATATATATACAATAATGTATATGTTAAACAAGCCTGTGCATAAGAGGTGGGATGCTCAAAGGTCCTCCAGAAATTCTAATCAAGATGAGTATTCACAGATTTAAAAAGCAGGTAGAATACTACATAAAGGAACACATTTCTCATTCTAAACATCAATATGTGACAGAGTAACTGACAGCTTGTGCGTCTCTCTTTGACTCTGTCCTTATTTTTCTCCCATTTGTTCTGTTGTCTTTTGTTAAGTGATGTACTGAACCATGTCTTCTAGATTTGCTACTGTACTACTCAGCTGCACCACACATATAAAACCAAGTGCTTGTCTCTGCCTCTTCACATCCTGTGCTGACCCTGTGTTCACCCGGTGCTCTGGCTGGAGATGCTCTTAGCTTTCTCCTCTGTTGAATTACCCCTCATCAGCACTTTCCAGAATTGTAGAATAACAGGAATGGGAGGGGGGAGAAGTCATGGGAAGAGTTTGTCTGGAGGGGAAGATAGAGAGATGCAGACATACATATGGATGGATTAATGTAAATGAAATGTCCCAGTAAATTAGGAGAGAGGTGAACCAAGGGTTTAGTGAAGACAAGACTGAAAACAGAGACTATTACTGGGGATAGCAAAACACTGGAGAGAGCAAAATCAATAAAGGGTAGAGTCTCAGGAAAGACAGAGAGAATCAGAACATGTATTGTTCCATTTTATCTTTTCATGCTCCATAAGTCAAACTGAAAATAAAGAGAAAGTGACACAGCGACACACAGAGAAAGAGACCAAGAGGAATTAAATGTGTTTTTAATGACCAGCTTGCTTTTCAGCAACAGGTGATGCATTAAAGCATGGCAGGGCACACACAGACCACAGCTGTGTTGTTCTGTGTGTGCTTGGTATTGAAATCCCTGGGGTGTCCCTTGTCTACTCACCCAAAGTTTAGCACATATTGCACCTAAAAATAAACATGGGGGAAGCCAGTGACTATACTGGGTTTGGCTGCTCTGTAGAGCAGTGGGATACTCAGATGCATGCTAGTAAAATGAGGTCTCAGTCAACTTAAAGGAAGGATAGGCATCAAGGAATGCAAGTTGTTGGAGGTTTGGCTTTGTACAAAGCTAAATAATGAGACACCGAATCCACCACATTTTCCAGGTAGACACCGGATAGTCACGCCAATTGTTTAATGTGCACTATATTTGCACAGGGGCAGTGGGTGACTTTCATAATTTCAACAGTGAAAGAAGTTAGAATTTAATGTATTTAAATTTAATACTGATCCTTAGCAATATTTGAGCACCCATAGTTTTGGCTTCTATTTTAGAAACCACAAATGTTAAAGGACTTTCAAACCCACACAGGAGTTTTTGCTCAGTTTAAAACTGAGCAGCGCTCTGCTGGGTATTATGTAAGGTCACCAAACGCACTGTGCCCATAAGAATGAAACACATCCAAGCTGTCCCACTGTGGCAGGTGCAGTAAAGCTTAAACCTAAAACAAAAGAGTTTTGGCCACTTGAGTGCACCAGAGATAAGCCATGAATACTACGTTGACATATCATCAGCTTTTAAGTTGATATGGTGACTTGTTGAGTTACACATTGAGCAGATACAGAGCAACATTAGCTTTCATTTCATTACTGATGCATTGCTGTGTATATCACATCACATTTAATGTTGCGGCTGGTAAAAAAAGAGCTAACTTTAACTGTCATATATGCTTATAATTTGAATTACTGCTGGGTAGCTTGTAAATTTTCCACCAGAGATCAGTGAGGTCTTCTTGTAAGTTCTGTATTAATCTGCTTCTGAAAAGTAACTAGTAATTAAATATATAAAATAAATGCAGTTGAATAACAAGTACAGTGTTTTCCTCTAAAATGTAGTGAGGTCAAAGTATGAAATAGTACAAAATGAAAAAAGTAAAGTACAGATGCCCCCAAATTGTACTTATAGTAAGTACAGTATTTAAGTGAATGTACTCAGTTACTTTTCACCACTGAGCAGAGCTCGTTTTCAGTAGCTTCATCATTGTGAGTGAGCTCCTTCACACTGTCTCATAGCCAAGGCCAGAGGCAAGATGTTTATGGGTTCTCCACCAGTACAGCCCATTTTGTGAACGCGACATGTTAGGAACGCCTTGAGGGAACTTCTTCAAATTTGGCACAAGTGTCCACTGGGATTCAGTGATGAACTGATTAGATGTTGGTAGTCAAAGGTCAAGGTCAGTGACTTTACTTCTGTTGCACTGGACTACATTATATTCAGAGCTGTTCCTAATATTCTGACCCTCTCATGTATGTCAATGGGCAGGACAAAAACATACAGACACCTCTGAATATAATGTAGTCCAGTACAACACCAGCTTTAACTACGACCTCAATAATGAACATATAATTGAATTTATACATTTATGACAATCTCACCAAAAACTGAAACATTTTGAGCTTCATAAACAAATGTTAAGGCAGAAGTGTTGCACTGACGTGCATAGAGATGTACAGGTGGTCATGATGTTATGCCTGATAGGTGTATGTTTCCTCTAAGTATTATTATTGCTGTTATATGTGCTGGTCATGCATTACCTAAACTGCTTAAGTGTAATCTGTAACAGTGTAACACAATTCAAACAAGTTATGCCCCTGGGCGACATTATATTTCACCATAAAGTCTCGGTATTTGGAGTAGATTAGCACCTCTTCCTCTTTCTACTTCCATCATGATGTTTCTACGGTAACCAGCAGTCGTCACAGTAAACACAAGCCGTATTTTTGTTGAGACATTCTGTCAGTCTCACATCATCTGTTTCCGTGCATGTGTGCGTGTTGGTACCTGTTTGTCTGTCAACATGATGTTATTATATTTCATCAGAAGTTTTTTTACAGTGTGCTTCTGTTTCAAAGTTATAATCCAAGGCCAGCATCCAATAAACTATATGCAAACACTGTCACAGTATCTTCTTACACTCATATACACATTTGCAATCCACTAATTTGCCGTCTTACGCATGGACACAAACACAGCAGACTCCAGCAGCTGTTCTGACCTTGAAGATACTAAATACACCCTTGAAAAATGTTTCTGCAATTCATGGCTGGTAATGTCTGTTATATGAGCAGCGTTTCAAAGGATCCATCACAGGGCTGCATGGAAACAGATATGGAGTCAATATGTGCTGTGCTCACGCACACTCACACACATACGTGTTCCAGCTTATGCACTGTCACACTGTATCACACTGTTTGTTTCCATCTTTGTAGAGTAAGCACATTTTCCGCCCTGCACAGTTTTACCTCACACACTTAATTTTGTATTTCTCTCTGTATTTTCTTGCTACCACCATCTTCATTTGATGCCTAATAATAATAATACCTTACCCCAGCCTGGACTCAGCCTTGTTTGATTTACTGAAGGATATAACACGTTTTACTTTGCTTTGTCAATCTGTGCACGTGGTCACTGGTCCAGTGTTTCAGGTGCTGGAGTTAAAAAGCAAACAAGAAGCTGTGGTGCAGTGTGGAAGTTTAAAGTGGACGTGAGTTTCCTTTTTTTTACCAGAATGCAACTGTTATCCCAACATAAGTGGGTTGTTGTATTGTCTGTGGTATGAAGGAATTACCCCCCTGCCCCCCTCGGTGCCGGTGTTTAGAGATTCTCAGGAGCTGACATCACGAAGAGAGAACAGATGGATAATGATTGATTAGAAATTTTAACCGCAATCAGTAATCTATTGGTCATCTTTAGGAAAATAAGATCAGACAAATTTTGGTTGGGTACTCTCTCTCTCTCTCTCTCTCTCTCACACACACACACACACACACACAACAACAACAACAACTCTGCTGACATCTAGTGTTCGAAGCATTAATCATCTCAGGTTTACTGTAATTTTGGAACTGGACCTTGTTCCAGTTACTGTATATCCCCACAGAATAATTTCAATCATCAGTCCTTGTCTTATGAATGCCAGCTGCAAAGTAAGGGTGAGAGGTCAACACTGACTCACAACGTGTTTGTGTAAGGGTGTGTGTGTGTGTGTGTGTGTGTCCACTAGTGATTTGAAGAGAATGTAATGTGAGATAAGAAGTACAGCGAGATAAGAATGTCAGAACACACTGAAAGAAAAGAGTTGACACTGAAGTAGTCGAGTTCCCAGTCAGAAGTGTAGGCACACACTAATACACTGATATGCATTATGAATTAATGCAACTTAACATGGACTCTCCTAAACCACTCCCTAAAAGCACAAAGAACTGAGGTCTAAAGCAGCCGTGCTGAGCTCAGCTGAGATGGACAAACTGGCGAGACGAGCAAATCCACTGGAGTCATGCACCTAAGTTTTAATTATTTTCTAATTATAGCATTTGGATAATTGATTTCACCCAAGCATTAATTAGGTTTAGTAAAACTAAAGGAATGTAAGTATCAATTGTATTTTTGGGCAGGTGTTGCTTGTTTTACAGAGCTTTTTAGTATCTTTCAGCTATTTTGTTTTTTAGCCTGCAACCTTAGTGTTTACATTCAGTATCACTGCTCTCATCAACTCTATCTCTGGATGCAGGAAGTAGCAGTTCTCAACAAAAAAGATGTGAAAAATCTGCCTGCCCAGCGTGAAATAGCAGATAATCAAAATTAGCAACTAGCTGGTTAAGACAGCGAAACATTTAGCAGCTAAAGAGCCAGATATTTTCTTCAGGAGCTGGTGGAAACTAAACTACTGGACTAACAATTTAGGTTACACAATTCCAAATGATTGCTAATGTTGCCCTGTGTCTGCTGGATGTGTCGAGTAGGCAGCACTTTGCTAAAATAGTGACCATAACATCTTTATAGGGTGGCAGTTTGTCAATGTTGTTTACAATTTGTTCTGCTGCCCCCATGCGGCCAATCAAATTAGTGTTAATGCAGGTTTAAATTGAGTCTAATGTTGTAGCTACAACCTGCTCCTTGTGGCTCTTGACTGCAGGTACTCAGTTTAACTGAACTACATGTTGATGAAAACAGTGAGTGAGAAATACGTCCTGCTCAGTGATGCTCTTTTTGCTCTGCATCTGTCTTGTAGGCTTCAGGTGTGGGATCAAACCCAGATAAGACAAGATGAACATCTGCAGGACTGAAAATGTCTTAGTGTCACACTAAACGTTTAATCTTGTGTTTAGTGTAATGTCTTCACTACATGCTGTACAAAATAATGCTGTTTCAATGTACACATAGCTGGTGCATTAGCTCGGAGAAGACTGAAAGTAAAAGTATGTTGATGAACTTGGTCAGCAGGTTTTAAATGTGTGTCTTATTATATGCTTACATTTCAGGAAGATGGTTAAATATTTATGTGTGATGAATTGCAGCTAACAGTTGGTAGCATTTGTAAATATCTTTTGACTGTTTACCTGAACTAAATTACCAGTCCCCCATTGTGCTGGCGGTTGAAGGGGCTGCCACTAGTCAACAACATCACAGTATTGACAGTAATTAGTCCAGCTAAATGTGGGTGTGATGGTTAAGATGGTGTGCACAGACTCTGGAAGAGCTACTGTGCACCTGTGAACTCTCAAATAAAACAGAAGCCTTGTAATAATCATTAGTGAAAAGTCCCTGTTGGAGACGTGCTTGTGGAGCCCCAGTGCAAAGGTTCCTAAATTTAAAATGAAAATATGAAAATGCAAAGCTACAAGATGATGATGATGAAATAAAGCCAAGTAGTGTATATCCATGTTTTCTTCTTCGTATAAAAACCCAAGTGTTTGCTGCATATTGATGCACTATAGCCAGAAGTGATTTAATGCATGTGCACGATTGGTTGTAAGGTGTTTAACTCTTTATGTGTTGAAGCATTTTCAGTGTTTTGTGTTGTTTGACATCATTTCCAAATAAAATCATACACACATGCTACAGTAGCAAAACAATGTGCTACTATAGAAGATGTAACTCCTAACTGCCAAATTGAACTGGATGGTTTCACTTTAAACGTGCCCACACAAAGGTACAAGAGGTGGATGTTGCAAAAACACAAGAAATAAACGTCCCAGTATGGTGATACAAAGTTAAGCACAAGTTACTTCCACTCGTCCTCTGCTGAACTGATACCAGAAGCCATACCCAGGTGCTTGTGACCATCATCTTTGTCGCAGTTAAGTTAATTTTAGGGAACTCGCGCTTCCTGTTGCGTGGTTCCGCACTGTTGCGCATGCAAGCTGTTTAAGACACAATCAGGGTGTGAGTGTAAGTTACGGTCACTGCGCTCGGCGTGTGTGCTCGTGGCTAAGCTCTGTAAAGCTCTGTAAAGCTCTTTTCTCTGGACAGTTTCTCCGTTTGTCCGCACCATCATGTCGGTGCCGCAGCAGTTACGAGACAAAAGGTGAGTGTTTGCGACAGACTGGATGTCAGTGCGTAAAATCACAGCCCACTAATTCTAACTGGTAACTTTTAGGCATCTGTATTGTGTTTAACGCTAAAATATCAGTGTTTTGACATTTCGGTGCCTGTTCATACTTGTAACTTCACATATTCTTTGGTCAATGCCCCTAAAATAAAACGGGGTAATGAAACTAGAGGCCGAGTTTTTTGTGCACTGTTCGCAGATGCTTGGTGGCCGTGTTATTTCTGCACTGTGTTGGGGAAAAAAAAGTTCTAGAAAACAAGATCATGATGTTTTATTCACGCACCAGTGCAGCTTACATTTGGTTTCTAATAGACAAAACACTGTCATGTTGAAAAAGTCTAAATATGCAGATTCTATAGACGATGAATGAATAAGGGGAGGCTGAGCTTTCTGAGCTGCTATCTTTGTCAGTTTGTTTTAGTGCAAACACTATTTAATTAGAGAAACGTTGGTTCCCGTAGCATTATACTGATAAAATATTACTACAGCACCCTTAACTAATGGAAGTCAAAATTCTAACCATAATCTGCTTGTTTAACTTAGTGACTTTGACCAGCTGCCTCATAACATCCCTGTCAGTGCCAGTATCGCTGATATTGAGGAGAAGAAAGGCTTCATTGATTACTATGTAAGTTTAAATTCTATCATAAACTTTTACATTTTAGATTTAAAACATAAGTTCAGATCAGTTTCTCTCATTCTCTGTTCCTCTCCCAGAGGTTTGTGATTGAGGTGAAGACTAAAGGAGGGAGTAAGTATTTTATCTACAGACGGTACCGAGAATTTTTTAACCTCCACCAGATCCTTGAGTCCAAATACTCCCCAGAAGGTAATGAAAAACCTGGTCCCAACACCTGCATCCTGCCTTCTCTTCCAGGTGAGTGTACGTCTCCACAGTGCCGGTCACTGCAGCATCATATTGTTGAAATACGGGTCTGTGTGGGACCCACAGCTCAACTTATTAGCCTCTGGCCTGTACTGTGTCAAAAATCAGAGACCATGACCAAACATTCATGGTCTCTGATTTCCAGTTTTGATCAGTTGCTTTCCTGGCATGATGAGTTGTGCCCGAGGCTGATGCCAGACACTGTCTACATGAGAGGCAGCTGCGGCGCTGTGTCAAATAAATCCAGCCCCCTCATTTAATTCAGTGAGCCTACAGAGAGCTCCAGCAAAGAAACTAGCGTCTGAAAAATTAGCAGAGCCTGGCTCAGACTCTGCTGCAACATAATGTGATGAAGATCTACCAATGCATTGTGCTGGCTATTCAATACCATGCACACCTTCCTCCTAGAGTGTAATGTGAATGGTGTAATAGTAAACCACTGTGGTGACTTGGTGTGTGATAAGCCTTATGTTTTTTGGTAACAGGGCTTCCTGTTCTTATTGTAATGTTTCAGCGCTTCCCCACCAAATCACACCTGTGCATTATTTTAACATTGTACCACTTTTAATGTGAACGCCAGATAATGTCACCTAAACTGACTGTTGTTTTGATGACTGACAAAACAAGATAATTTGTTGGTGTAGGATCAATACACATGTCAACAGTACACAGAAAAACCTAACCGCATGTCAACAGTACACAGAGGATCAATACACGTGTCAACAGTACACAGAAAAACCTAACCTAGCATCTGGCACCGCAAGAACAGCAGCAGATGTAGAGTGCAGGTTTTGAGGTGTGGTATAATAAGAGACTCATTCATTCAAATGTGTTGGGTCCTAGACCATGTAGTGCTTTAAAAGTTAAAAGAAGCTTAAACTGAATACGACAGGTGACAAAGGACGCTTACCAGATACCGTAGTCATAATGAAGTTGTCCTGTTTGTAATGCCTAGCTGTTAGCTGACAGTTTGTCTCTGTTGTGGTGCCACAGTAGAGAACTCTGTATTATTGCAACACTGCAGTAATTACACCTGGAAATGATGCACACATTCTGCTATTTTTTTTTTTTTTTTTGAGAATGAGCACAATGGCTGTTTATCTTTACTACCACATCGCTGCCTGCTGATGGTCCTCAGCAGAGGACAAACAGGCTGTACACACAGTGTGTACTGATCTGCAGTTGGTCCACTGTAAGTATAGGTACTGTCGAATATCATCCCATTTCCTCTCAGAGTTGTGGTTCTGCTTCAGGCTGCATTGCCAAACAAATAATCCTTTTGATTCTCCACTGTGATGAAAACCTTTACAGTAATGATAGTAGCTGAATGTCTTTTTTGTTTCGTGACAGTGCCGAGTCAGTGGGACAGCTGTCATTTCTAGTTTCACAGTGAAGGCAGTGATTTTGCAGTGCTGGGGCTCTGCTGCAGACTGAACACAGAGGCAACACTACTTTACTGCATCATTTCTGCCCTGTCACTCTGTAACCTTCACCTTCAAATGCACACTCATTCTCCTGTGCGTCGTGCGTATGAAGAGGAACAGCCTGGGCTTGTGGTGACAGCTGGCTGAATATTTTTCCTCTGTCAGGAAGAACTGAGAATGAACATGGTCCAAAAAGCTGGAAACTGTTACATGTGTTGGACACAGATCTTTCATGTGAGATTTTATAAACAAAAATCTCTCCTGTTTTGTCTCTAAGTATTCAGAGTTTTAAAGCATGATCAGGTTACATCAAGGAAGAACAGTTACTGTTGTGGTCCTTACAGATGTGATTACAATTTAGTCCAGATTTACTGTGAACTCACTTCTCCATAAACTGAACTATAGTTACGCCACAAGGGTGCAGTGACAGTAGTACATGTTACTAGCCAATATTGTGAGGCCTGAGACCTGAAGATGCTGTGTTGCAATCCTCATTCTGCAGTGAGATATTTGCCAAATAAAGAGCAGCATCTACTCTCAAAATATTCACTTAAGTGAATTAAAATAGTAAAGTATAATTGTTAATATTTTCCAAATTTACAAACTTCCCTCTCAACCTGATGTAATTTCTCTTTGCACAAGGTCTTTGAAACATTTTGCAATAGCACTGTTGTCTGTTGTAGTCAAACGGCATATTATCAGGCTAAATGTCAAACATTCTGCAGTGCAGACTTTACTGGGGCATCACAGTGCCACTGATGAGCAAGTCCCACAAGGTCAGGTTAAAACCTTATATCAGAAGACTGTAATCAGCAACTACTATATTCCACAGGGGCTGACATTAAGAATAGTCAGAGGAGAGCAAATCGATGCCAGGACAGAAAAATGGCACAGGGAAAATGCAGAACTTTAAAAAAGACAGCCAAGTTGAAGGGTAAAGGTTTAAGGGAATGTCATCTATCCATCTATTTTAAAGAGATTTATCCAGGCAACAGGTGACAGCAACAGAACACACAGAGAAGTGAGTTCATCATAGGCCAACACATAGGAAATATAATCCTTCTGTCATGTCCACTTTTGCCCCTGGATCTTTTCCAGGTTATTGTGTCTTGAACACTTAATGCTGAGGCTCTTCACAATCACTGATTTGCTCACTCAGATAGAAAGAATCCAGCCATCCTGCAGATAATATGTAAAGGTCATAACTATATACCTGCAGTAGTTCTTAACAGGTCATAAGATATTTGGTTGGTGGCTATAATCCCAGGCTGGTATTAGGTTTTGGAAGACATCTGCACATCCTAGTGTTCTTCCCAGGGAGATCTCTGAAACTTCTACCATGGTGTCACTTTGCTTGGCCACACGCAGACAGAACTGTGGACCCCAGGCCAGATCTCTGCTGCCATCGGCTTCCTAGGGCTACAGGCTTCTGTCAACTGACTACTGACTTCTCACATACAGATGCTGGTTGCTGCACCTCAGGCATCTGGTGATCTATTTCAATAGTAGCTTCAGTTTGCAAAGAGGCTTTTCATGTGTTTAATGCTCTGTGCATTTTAAAGTTCCTCCTGCCCACAGAGAAGCACTGGAAGAGATGTAGTTTCACAGATTCTGAACCATCTTGCATATAGCTCCCAGTGTTTCCAACTCCAGAGCAGCTGTTCAACATATTGCAGAGCATCATGGAGCAAACACTGGCGCCACAGTTTTGTTACACCTCCTGTTCCTTGCATTAACTTTTGACTCACTATTTATTTCTGGGCCATGCTTCTTCCTCTTTAGCTACAGGGACACCTAAAGATTTGAGGATAAGGGTTTTCACAGATAGTAGTGCATTTTTTTTGCTAAAGAAAAAGCAGGATTTGTAGAAAATCAAAGACCATGTGACCACTGACTCCCACAGGTAATGTCTCACTTTTTGCTGTTTACAAAAGGCACTGGGAGCACCACTGTAGCATAAGATTGGAAAATGATAAGCAGAAGTGAGAACAAGAAAGAGACAGAATGAACAAATGCTGCCAGCAGAGCATGTCTGGACATTTAATAATCTAAGGTCCAAGGAAGAAACATGATGAACGTGAGCTGAGGAAGACGACTAACCACAATGGAACAGAAGCTTAAAATTTGAAAAAGTCATTGAGGGCAACTCTCCAGTGAAGATGCCACTAAAACTATTTCTTTGCATGACATTTTGCATGACAACATAGATTCAGGCCCCAGTCGCTGGTTGTGCTGTTGTGTGGACTGTGTTTGTCTTCATCTGCTCAGTGGCTCCAGTTTTATTCTGCAGCTCATTGCTCTACCATAAGTCTGCCCGTCTGTTTGCAGGAACTGGAAGTTACATGTGGGGACTGTAGGCTGGGCCCCATGACTACTTCATTGAATGTTACAAAAGTGACAGGGTGTAAGGTTACAGCAAGTGTTGGCCTTGGTTAAGTATTAGGATAAGGGTTAAGTGTTAGGCAAGTAGCGGGTCTCCTGGAAATGAATGTAATCTATGCATGGGCCCAGGAAGTGACAGCAGCAAGGGTGTGTGTGTGTGTGTGTGTGCACTGTAATCACAGTTAAAATGCAACAGATTTAATTACATTTGAATTGAAACTACTTTATAGGTCTAGACTAGCTATTCAACAGCATTTAATATCTGACATATTATATTTGTTTTATTGCCAAGTGCTGCAGTTAGGTGTTATATGCTCCACAGTAGAAGCACAGCAATCTACTTACAAGGATGGTGATTCTACATTGTCATAAGAGCTTCCTAAACATCAAGTTGCAGTCAGAATTTTTGATAACTGTGGATCCAAACTTAACATTTATTTGCACTGTAAAATTATTGGAGTTTACAAAAATCCATGCTAAGAAAGCTTATTAACATTTGGACAACCAAATATTTTAATTTGGAAAGTATTTAGAGTTTAGGAAGCTGTCAGACTAAAGAGTCATCATGAAAGCTGCTATTAGAGACTAAATGCTAATGCCAGCATGCTAACATACATGTAATGACTGAGCTAACATGTTTATTACTGTTTATTGGGGCATTATACCAGTTATGACAGTTTGTCCTTAGGAGAGTATGAATGTACCAAAACCAATCCATCTTGTACACATAGAGATATTTTACTGAATCATTGTAAATGTTGCTGCTGCTAGTGGCTCTAAAAGAAGAGTCAGGGATCCCCCAAGCCTGAAGAATTCATGAATATCTGTATAAAAATTCATGGTAACCGGTCCAGTAGGTGTTGAGACACTAGCTTTTGCCACTAGTGTGACTAAAAAAACAGCAATGCTTTAGCTACTTGTTTTCTTCTCACCAGAGCAGAATTACGTTAAACATGTACCTTATGAGTCCTGGTGTTTTAAAGTGATTGTAGTTTACTGCTGTAATACGTCTGGAATCTAGAGTTATGTTTTCAAAGTAGCCTGATCTGTGCCATCATCACTGTGCACCTGTGGTGTTGTTATATGGCTGGAGCTCTGCCAGAGCGGAGTCCAATCTGATCCATTACACAAAGCCGGTTCTCTGGTCCTGTTTGTCCAACGTGTCTCTTCTTTCCCTTGGTATTTACTATAGTGTCGTGTACCAGGCAGGGTATAAAGGTAGAAATTATTCTTATTCTTGGCATTTGCCTTAAACAGCTTAGAGTACTGGCAGGTGGGGTTTTCAATGTGTGTGTGTGTGTGTGTGTGTGTGCAAATGGGCGCGCACCAAGAGAGTTTCAGCAATCGCAGAAATGTATTTAAAATTCAAGGTCAAAATTGAATGTAAAATTACATTTTTTAAGGTGTAATGGGAGAAAAACAATTAAACCTCTGTGTATTTCTTTGTCACGTGTAACAACATTTAAAATCTTCCAACTGATACAAATCACTAATTCCCTAGTTCATCTCTTCTTGTTTTTATGCACTGCTAATACAGTTGGAGTGATTTATATTGTGTAGTTTTCATAATTCCTAGATAGTAAACCATTATATATAGGATATCTTATATTAATTTCAGACAGATTTTTTCTTTTCTTCTGTTACAGCAACAACATTTTAACCATGCGCCAAAGATTTTACTGTGAAATCTTCTTACATTTTTGATACAGTATACTTTAAGGCTGCTTCTCTCATGTCACTAACTATATTGGGAAAGTTCTACTTTTCTACAAACTCTGATTTAGCATCTGCCGCAGAGGAGTCTGCTGGATAATATTAGATCTGATGGGTTTAATTGCAGTGCCAGAACTCATCAGATGGAGAGGGAATAAGAAAGACATGGGGGAGAGAGGAGGGAGGCAGAGGGGAGGATGGGTGATGGGTAGGAGCAGGACAAAATAATGGAAAAGATGTTGGTCTGTTAGGTGAAACTGAACCAGGCTGATTAATGAGAATCACATAATGGAAAATACCTCAATGCCACAATCACACCTTTCTTTCTTCTTCCTTTTTGATGTCAGCTGATTTTTATTATAGTAGAACAGATTATATCTTATATGTTCATTTTTGATTCAGATGAGGATTGTCTGGGCTACATGCTTCATAGATATTATAACAGAAAACTGAAATAGAAACTATTATGTGATAGACTCAAGGTCAACAAAACACTTATTCAGTGAGGCCCCAGGAGATGAAGAGAGGTGTTAGAATGATTCGTCAGTAAGGGAGTAAATGAATACATTTGTGTCTGCAAGTGACTGAGTGAGTTATTGAGCTCAAGAGTGAATGAGATGAGAAAAGTTGAGAGAAGCGAGAAGGCTGAGTAATGCAGCTGAGGGTCATTAAGACTGTGCTAAATTCGATTTAACAGCAGTGTTAGACGGCCTTAGATGAACTGTTAGGGGGGGGGGGCTGCCTTAGAGCATTAGTCTGTGGTGTGCCTCATCATTTTTGACTGGACAAGGTGTGATATGAAGGCTGTTATGTCTCAAGAAAGACATGTTTCTAAAGGAGTATCTGTCTATTTAGGAAAAAGTAAATGTGAGTTCTATTTAAAATATGGGTCCACACACACACATTTCTGTGTAGATGCAAGACTACAACTTAGTGTATGCACAAACAGCCATTATAAAGCTGCACATATGCTTGGTTCTGCTTTATAAATCCCACTCAATAAAAAAGGTGAAACTTCATTGAATCACACTGGTGAGGTCCACCATCGGTGGCTAACATGGTGGTTATAGAGAATGTGAAGTTGATGTCACGTGGTGTTGAATTTTGGGGAAATGTGCCATGTGTGGTGCCTCATACTCGTTAATCACAGATATATACACTATGTACGTCTATAAGTTCATTTAAAAAAATGTATACTATCTACTATAATGCTATTAAGTTAGCTACCATCAGCTAAGGTTGTCTATTCTGAATTACCACAGTCAGTAAAGTGAGATTTAAACAATTTAAGCAACAAAACAATCTTAAACTGTGCACCTGTGATTCCCTGTTAGCGATTTTTTTTTTTTAATTCACAAAGTATCTTTAAAGTCTGGGTGTGTAGACTGCAAAGTACATAGGTAGTCAGTGAGACTGACTAAAAGAAACAAAAAACACCCCATTACTTATTAGATTCAATCTATCACCTTATTTCCATTTTGCACACCAAACTTGCACACACAGAGAATCTTTCCATAAATACCAGTTTCGGTGTGGAAAAGGCTTAGATTATCCACCTGACCCCTGGTCTAAAACTTATGCTTGACTCAGTGATTTTATTCCTGCACTTTTATCAATGTGAATATGTTTGTCTTCAGGAAAAATCTTCATTGGGAACAAACAGGAGATTGCAGAGAGCAGGATCCCTGAACTCAACACATACATAAAGGTAATCACATGTAATTTCATGCATAGTGCAGCTTTGTATTTTGTACAAAAGAATTGCTGGCATGCCTTGGTACCTTCTGCAGCGTTTCAGTGCAGTAGCCTACAGCTCGGTGGGCTGAACGATGCTGTAGGTGGATAAGCACTGACTCGGATATTTTAGCAGTAGTTTGCAGATTGAGCTCAGCATGTAGGCGTTACTGCTCTCTTCTCATTGCTCTGCCCTGTGCCCACATCACGTCTGACTGACTGTATTTGTGGGACTTTTGACATGTTTCAGTGTTGCTCCATCGCTAAAAACACAATCAGGTTCTCTTTCTCCCACTCACTCACTTCTGTTTTTTGCTTTACTCTTTTTTTTTTCCTGCAACCTACATGGTTCTCACTTTGCCACACTCTCTCGCCTTCGCTCGCCTTGCACTCGTAATTTTTTTTTGTTTCATCTCCTTTGTTTTCATCCACTCCTTCCCCTCTTCTTTTGCAAAATACTCACCTTCTCCTTCTCCTTCTCCCCTTTGCTCAAACTCTCTCTCCTTCCACCCATCTTGTCTGCGAAGGTCTCTCTAATATCCACCCTGATTGCCCTTTTTCTCAATTTCTCCATTTTCCCAATATTTCACTTCAAACACTGCCTCTTTATCTTTAATCCCATCATGTTTTACTCTGTCCTTCCCTTCCCTGCTCATTTTCCCTCTCCTTTCCCAGAGGTTGCTGGGTCTGCCAGCATGGTTCCTGCTCGACGAGACTCTCAGGATGTTTTTCTATCAGACGGAGCAGGACGGCCAGCAGGAACCACGAGCCCTCAGGCGCCTCCGCCCACCTACCCGCAAAGTGTAAGCAAGCCTCTTGCATGCCCTGCTAATAAGCAAAAGACTGATGCTAAGCAGTTAGTTGAACTCCTTTAGCACAAGGCCAGATGTAACTAAATATAAGGACATCATCTGAACCACACTACTGATTTATGTAGAGTAGAAATGTCACCATTGTGTAGCAAAAAGATGGTACTCGACATCAACTGCCCCAAACTATTGTGCGTACATGTGAGACCCCTTGACTTGTGAAAGCTAAGAACCAATCATTTGATGTCAAAGTAACACAATTTACATACGCAGGGAAATTGTAGACTTAGAACTGATCTCCAAACTAGAAATTGGCGTCTGTGCAGCTTGGCTTGGACCTACTAACTGTTCACTGCAGGAAGAAAAGGTTATGTCTGTGTGTCAGTTGACCACATCTACTGCTTTTTGCTTACACAATCATTTACTTCCTTCAGAGCACAACATTATTAGGCTGTAACTGTATCCAAAGTTAGTTAAGTGCTGGAGGTTAGCATCTTGCTCAAGAGCACTTTGACAGGAAACAAGTGAGCTGTCAAACCAAACACCTGAATGTGAGATTGTCAGGCATTGCCTTCACACACAAGTACACTCTGACAAACAAGTAGTTCAGTCAGAGATTATATATGGGGAAAGCTCAGCTGTTTGAGGAGGGGAATAAAGACTTTACAGGGAGACTGTTCCCCCAAACCAAACATAAGGTTACACAGGATACAATGATGTAAACCAGTATGAATACAGCATCATTAACAGCAAATATGCTACTGCTAGGCATGAATAAAGCAGCTGATTCCAGCTAATGCATGTCACTTCAGTGCTCTGACTGAACACAACACTAAATAAGGAGACAAGACAAAATGTATATATTTGGAAATGCTTTGGAAATAGTTTTTATGAGTGGAACATTATTTCTCTTTGGATGTGCAGTAATGAACGAGAGCATCAGTGACATGGCTGGAAATTCTAACTGGATATTGTGATTGAACTTTAAAAACAGATTTAGTATGTTACATTTTAAAACCAGTCAACCCTAAAACCCGGTACAATCATCTTTTATCTCAGGTGATTCAGCTGTGCAGCAGGCTATAAATATTTTATATCAAATCAATACTCAGCTGCCCTGAGTGATGATTTCCAGTTTAGCAAATAAGTGCTGCTTCAGTTCCTCCCATCTTTGGCTTCCACACCTCCCTCACATCATTAATGGATGGTGCTAAGTAGTGAGAAAGCGATGGAGTTGTCAGTTTAGCACTGAGAAAAATCCACAGACATGTATTACCCTTTTTAGGATGTACCTCCTCCTTGATAACTGCTCTTTGTTCTTCTGATTGGCCCATTTCCTCATGGTCACATTATACCAGCAGGAGATATGGTAAAGGGGGAATCTCTCAACAGGAAATGATGCAAAGGTAGATGCTCATGACTTCCTTTGCTCTGGCAGCTTGGCCTGCCTTTATTTATGTAAATGTGATCGGTTTTTGTGTTTGAGTTTTACAAGGAACTCTGACGTTTCCTCTTTCGAATGTTGCCACATGTTTGGTTCTCCTAGAAACCAGATGTGTTTTGTCACATAGTTCCAGTAAATTCTCTGGTTTTCTACGAGGAGCTAAATTCAACCGTAGTTAAAGCTCCCTTGCACCATGAAACTGTATGTTTCTAATTTCTTGCTATTATGAGTTATATTTTCATTTCCATACATTTTACAAAGTGATGTTAAATGAATCCAGTTTGTACATTTTGTGTTCATGCATTGGAAAAATTACATTTATTAGAGTTCATTCAAACTCAGACACTGCTGCACTTATATTGTAAAAGGTGAAATAATGACGCCTTCTCGTTTTTTAATTGGGTATCTAACCAAGACTGATGAACTGTCTACATGACGCATCCTCCAGTCTCTGTTGTCTGTTTCACACATGGCTGATGGAAAAGCTGCAATCCTATTTTTATCGATCCAGTTGTCTAAACAGGCTCATGTTTTACTTACCAGTGCACTCCAAAGCATACCATACCCATCGTATATATATATCAGTGGTTGAGGCACAGTTTTAAATTGTAGGTCACCCACATTCTGGCAGTACTCAGAGCCCAGTACACAATCACATGTATTACATGTAGTCACATGTAAAGAGGAAAAAAGCTAGAACTAAAAAAAAAAGGCATCATCACTTCCCTCTACTTTGCAAAAATGAAGCCAAAATATTGTGAATATTGTGGATGCCATCTTGTTTTTTTGCAAGCAGATCCTGAGCAGTAGTGACCAGAAGTGGACTGACAGCATCCCCACCAATCAATCTGTCAAATCAAACAAATTACGCCTCTTTTAATATCATCAAATAACTTAGTAAAAACATATTTCCCCAAAAACAGATCACTTCTACACACACCAGTGATAATGTATACCAGAAACCACAGAATCGACCCCTGGGAAAAAATTATCTTATTAATAATTTGAGTTTCTGGTTTGGCTCAAGTTCCATCTGCTAACATGGAGGAGGCGGGGTTTATGACCTATACTGCAACCAGCCACCAGGGGGCGATTGAGTCACGGTGGCTTCACTTCTAGAAGCTGTCATGGTGTATCTATTTTCTGCAGTCAGTAGCCTCAGCGAATTCTGTTCTATTCATGCCGACTTCAGCTGTACTAAGCTAAAGGCTAACGTTTGTTAATCAGCACTAAACACTGAAACAGTTCGCTCACCAAAGATGTGACCCTCTAGGAAAAGTCAGGGATCAGCAAGGTCAGTAGGCTTAATCCATACTGGGGACCAAAATTACATTACAATCCATCCCATGGCTATTATTTGGACTGAAATGGTGGACTGACCAGCTGTGCCATCTCTCAAGTGTGGCTAAAAATACATACACAGATTAGGTTTGGCAGGAGCTACAATTAGAGGCCAAAATGTTTTAAAGGCCATAAATGGTCTGATTTTGTCACTTTAGAGGATAATGGGTCCTGTCATTGATCACACCTGCAGACAATGTTGACTTGTACTGTCTGTCTCTCTGTCTGTTAGGAAGACAGCCAAACCAAAGATGGACCTCTTCTCCTCCCCCAGGGCCGAGGTATGTGGAGTTGTACGTTTTGGTTGTTGCTCTGGTTACAATCTCCATGGCCACCCACAGAGTAAAAACTTGTAAGTCAAACACCCATGCAAAATGTACTCCATCACCTTAGAAATACCATACGACTTTGTCAGCACCCCTGGCGTGACAGACAGACACACCTCCCGCAGTGTCTCCCGCAGCGCTACGTTACTTTGTGACAGTTACAAACAAGGCACGGAACACCCACTAAAAATGAAACAACATACATAAACATATCAACTGATGCGTCAAATCAATAAGGATGGATTCACTCCTCAAGCGTTGTGCCTCGTGTTTTCTCCCCCATCTTGCCTGTGACTCCATTGACCTCATTAATAGTTCTCGCCTCGCTTCACTTCCTTTTTTAATTTCTGCATCATCTCTCCTCTTGTAATATCCTTTCTTTTTTCCTTTTTTTCTCTCCTCCCCAGTTCCCATACTTTCCTCATCCAACCCATAAGTTTGTCCTTGTTTCCTTTTCCTCTCCCATCCCTCTTCCTTTTTTCCAAGGTTGCAACCAGTTCTAATCCCTTTCTCCTCCACCTCAGCTCCTTCACTTCCTCTTATCTTTATTCCATTCACACCCTGTGCCTCGGTTCTGTGAAAAAAAAGGGTAAGAGAAAGTTTGTATTCTCCAGTTGTGTTACCCATAATTGGTTTGTTTGTGTCTCTGTGAGGTTGTGTAGTTGGTGTTCAGGAGGAGGGATATAGTTAGGTGAGGGGTTGGAATGGGAATGACCTCCTGCTTAGACTCTCCAGGGTGGTTATTTTTACACAGTCTTGGAGTGATTTTGAACACACACACGTTTGTACTCCTTACTTTTGAGAACCCTTACTGACATATTGTTTTCCTTAACCCTAAATGCCTAAACCCAACCCCTGACCCTGAAATCTAGCCTTAATCCAAAACAACCCTTCAAACAGGCCTTCGAAGAAGTGAGGAACAGCCAGTATGTCTTCACTTTTTAAAGCCCTCCTCACTCGTTTGGTCCTCACAAAGAGACAAATACCAGAGCGCATACATGCACATGCTCAGCCATAACCTTCATAAATGTCTGTTTTAAACTAAATCAATGCTGCCTTGTAGTAATGTGTGTAGGAGTGATCATGTTGACAGTGCAGTTAGACTGATGGATGACAGCTGCAGCACTGCCAGATTCTGTTCGGTGTGCATTGTTATCTATACAAAATATATTTAGACCTTATGTGTAGTATTGGGTATAAGTCATTTTTATAAGTAATACAGTGCTGTATCCACAGCCAAGGAGATCTAACAATGGTGTTAGTCCCATGTTTAGTTTTGTGTGCAGTCTTCTCGTGCTCTAGATACAATAATTGGGCGTACAAGTTAAAAATCTGGCAGTATAGTAGGAGGATTTCAACTTCTTTTGAGTGCAAATCAAATTATTCATTTATTTAAAAATTGCACACTTATTCTTGACTGTAATGCAGCATTCTGCCTTATTCCATCCATCCATCCATCCATTTTCCTCCGCTTATCCGAAACCGGGTCGTGGGGGCAGCAGTCTAAGCAAAGATACCCAGACTTCCCTCTCTCCAGACACTTCCTCCCGCTCCTCTGGGGGAAT